CAACATAAATTATCCAGCCCGAGGGTTAACCCACAAATATAAACAACAATTACACGATATAATTAATTATCCGATAAATTAATTCGACTGGAATTAATTCCATTGGGTGAGACTCATTGCCAATTAGTTTGATTGATTATCGAGATGCCATTGGAATTTTTAATAGAATTTCAATGAACTCGTGTAATCTCGTTTGTGAGCCATCTTAGATTCATAATGGCGGATTGTCTCGTGGGTAATTCTGGAAAATAAATTTATCCCGCGGTTGATAAAGAGAGAGAGAGAGAGGATTTGGAGAAGGAGAAAATCTCAACACGAGCGAATACCGGGGGGCGGTTGTTGCCCAAGGCAATATAACTCGAAAATGGTTGCTGGGTTTGCGAGAGAGTGCCGTTATCATTTCTTAGCTCCGATATCGCCTCCTCCCACCCCCTCACGAAACCCCCTCCCCCTGGTGGTTATTACTGCACCCCCGGGGGCTACAGCCACGGACTCTTAGATAAGCCACCCCCCAACCAACCTAGATGGTGTATTGTTTCGCCCAACTGTGCATATATATTTCTCCATCCTCATGGCCCATCCTCAGCAACATCTCTTCCTCTCTTTCTCCATTGCTTCATCGTATACGAATGTATAGAATTGTTTCAGAATCGCCCGAAGCAACGCGAGATTACTTGGGAAAACGGATATGTCGTTTGGCTACTGATAAATTTGCCGCGCGGTACATGCGAAAAGGACTGGTCCTGGCCAAAGGAAATTCTCCTGAGTCCCTTATGGTCTTACCCTGTCTCTCGGGAATCTCAAGGTACTTTGAATTGGTTTGTTAGTTCAATTGTCTTGCGATTACCAGAATACCGATTGTCTCAACAAGATCAACAGTGTTTGGCCCACCCCTTGGAGAAATTCAGGGGAATTCAGGGGAATTCGATAAAAATAATCACAGAGCCAGTGATTCTTTTGGTTTTGGCTCTTGGATATGTTCGTGGGAGAGTGATCACGATTTCTACGAGGGATAGTCATAATTTACCGCTGATTAATCGTATTCGTAATTACTGTCGAGTTTAATGAAAATTTCCGGGAAAGTTACCGTTCGGTGGAAGCCAATGACGAGGTGCCGTGGGCTAGGTGGTTCCATGGACCTAATGGTAGGTCGAGGGGCTCAGGGGTGATGAGGGCATGTATGAAGTTGGGCTCTCGCGCCGGTAGCGCGGATTTTACGAGAATTTCCGAGACTAATTTCTCTAGCGCTTTTGGAGGCCTCGCTTCGGCCCTGGCAAGCGGGCGTCGTTAATTTCTGACGTTAATTGCTAAGCCTGAAGTTTCTAGAAATTTCCTTCGCTCACCGAATCCACCAGTCTCCACCCACACCCAGGAATCTCTTTCCTAACCCACGGATTTTAGCTTCAGATCCTTTGCCTACCTCCTCCACCAATTTCCTCGCCCCTGACAACTTCTATTTCTCTTCATTCGCGTTTCATTACAGCATCGTCTACGTGTCTCTATTCGGTGTAATGTTTCGTGCATCAAGATTTGTCGAGGGGATAAATTAATGGTGAGGTTTATATTAGAGGGCATTGAGATGGCTGCCGAGCCGGTGAGATTCAAGAATTTTGAGAGATTTGGCGTCACGAAAATCGTGATCTGGATGAAAGATGGAAAGAAGCTGGTGGTCAAGGTCATCGATGGGGTTAAAGCATTTATCATCCCCCTATCGCCCCCTCCCACGAAAATTAATTAAATCCACGTTAATTCACCCTTTTAGAAACTACAGTTGTTTAGTTTTCCGCCATCTTTGGCCGTGCTTAGTGGCCATGAGATGGCGAGGGGTGCAGAGTGAGTTTGGCCTGGGGATTCCATGTCTTCGTTCTCCACCTCTCTTCCTTGTTATGCAGAAAATCCACGGAAAATGAGACAGCGTAAGAGTCACCTCTTGCACCCTCCCCAGGACACTCCTCGCCCACGGGCGTTGAAACTGCGCGTCGAAGCCGCGATAGTAGAAAGGGGTAGTGAAAGAGGGAGAGCTGAGAGACTTTACTTACTTACACCCTCATCTCGCGGCTGCACCCCAGAGCCCATCCCCTGGTATTCCTTTTCTCTCTTATCCCAGAGCAGTGTCTAAGGACAAAAGAGGACAAAATTATTCCACGATTCAATGAATAAGAGGAGGAAAGAAATACATATAGGGTATCCTGGTGGTGAGCGCGCGCGCAAAAGGTACCGTAACGATTTTCTGCTCCTTCGAAGGAATATGAAAGGCGATATTTGCGCGAACGCAACCCCTAGGGGCTCAGTTAAGGGGCCGCGACGGGAGGGGAGGGTGTGTACGGGTGGTTGGTGAAAGGGGGGAAGATTCTCGCGAAAAGCCAAAAGGGGGTAGGAGAAAAGGTCTGCTCTGTGTGTACTCTATGGAAAAGGAAACGAGGGGCGGAAAGAGCTCTGGCTATGCCGGGCAAATACAACTGGGGGGGTGGGATTTAAAGGATGAAAGGGGCGAAGCCTTCTTTGCCCCCGTGCTATTGCATCTGTCTCCTTTCACCTTCACCTCCTCTCTTTTTCGTTATGTATATGGATGTACTTAGAGTTGGCAAAGGGGAGTTTAATGTTTCCTCGAAGATCTCAGATTTTATCTTCCAGTGAATATCAAAGGAATATTCTCGAGCCTCTGGAATCATCCGCCATTAATCGCACCGGTTGGAAAACACGGTGTGAATTGCAGTGAAAAATTATGAGACGATATTGGAGTCATCATGGTGTCTACCTGTGAGGCTTTCAGGAGCAACTCATCTGGAAACAAAGAGTGTGGACGAGGGAGATGAGGTTAAAAGGGAGCAGAAGGGAACAGAAGGGAGCAGAAGGGAGTGACGGTTTTCACGTTAGACCCAGGTTCCGGAGACTTAGAGTTGGTAATTAAATACAAGGAAGCTCGCCTGTCTCAGCTCACTCCACCCAACCCACTGTTCTCTTTACTCCTTTAGACACTCGTTCTTCTTGTGCAGTAGAGCAAACCCTTCGCCTAAAATGGTTGTGCGCGTGGAATACTAGAGAGGGTTGTATTTAATTTGAGACTTCATTCGATTTACTTCGCCACTCCCCGCGAATTCGATTCAAGGACTTTGGATCTGGTTCGTTAAGGCTTTTCTCAGGGTTTGATAGTGAGGGAGGAGAGTTACCATCAGACGAATCTAGCTAATTATCAAAGATCTTGTTAAAAAGTACTGAAAGAAAATTAAAAAACCGTGGTCAAATGAAATTGTTGATGGATGCACGTTTGTATCGTACAGTGTACGCCATTATTGGCAATAATATTATTACAAGAACCCATCCCTTGTACTGTGTCTTCACTCTGTCCCAGAGGCCTCTGACAGGTCCTCTCTCGTTTCCTTTACCTGAACGGTGTTTCCTAGCTGCAGCCAACCCATCCTCTACCAAACAATTTCTCATCCTCCACCAGCCTTACATTACCCTCTTTCCCGGCTTGAGACTCCAACGTGGTACCTCTCATTCCCTCTCGCTTTCTATCCTGGACGAAACTCAATTCCCCAGGCACCGAGGCCTGAACGGAGATGGTGCACACACTTTGCCCTGGCTCCCACCCGCTGCACAAGACGAAATTTCATTCCACCGTTACCATACCCCACCCCACTCCCATTTTCTCTTCTATACAATCTACCAATACCACCCCAACCATCCACCCTCTCGCACATACACACGACGGTAATTGTGCACGCTAAGCAACCTGGAACCAGCATTTGGTATCAAGACTAAAGGAAAACCTCTTCCAAGTTGGAGGTTTATTAAGGTCGTGGCCATATTCATAATAATCATCATAATACTTCAATTATATTTCATCATAATTGCAAAGTGATATGTGGAAAAATTTCCCTTTTACCACCGAAATATTCCATTAATTTCCAATGATGGCTCAATCTTGACCATGACAAGCTGCCCAACGCTCACCACCCACCGAGAAAAGACTCCCGGAATTTCATCAGAATCTGTACGAAATTCAATTCAAGCAGCAGCTGTTCACTTCTACTCTGATAACCATTGAGGTAGAAGTCCTCCCCTTTGTTCACCTTTTCACTTCCTCGTGGTCATCCCCAATCGATCGTAAAAACGCTGTCTCAGAGAATGAGAACGATACAAGAGCAGACAAGACCCTTTGACGAATAGTCTGATACATAAAATTTAAAATGATAATCTCGTTCTAGGTAAAGCCGGTGCAATTGAATACCCTCATCCCTCCTTACAACCCTCCCCAAGTAAAAACTTTTCATGCCAAGCCCTCGGGTGTTATAGCTTCAGTCGTAGAATATTTGTTGGCTTCCTCCAGTGTTCCTCTCTTTTGCTATTCTCCAAGCCTCCCCTTCTCAACCCCCCCATGCCTCCTCTCCCCCTTGATTTCGCGATGGAACTTTACCCGGTGGTACAATAAGACGGCTCAATGAAAACGTCCTTTACTGGCGGCACTGAATGCTTATACGTCTCGTTCCGTTTCGCTATTTGCGAGATATCTCTCCGTTCTCGTCGCAAACCAAGAGGAGGTAGAAAGAGAGGAGCCTCAGGGGGAGGGGGAGGTAAAAGGGGGGGAATGGTGGGGTATAGTTGGGAAAACGGCTCAGCCAATGAAAGCGCTGAGTCGGAGGTGAGCTTTTACGGCGTTCTTACAGTGGGTGGGTGTTGGGTACTACCACTCTACCTCCTCAACGTCAACTAGAAAGGAAAGGGGGATGAAATTTGTGTTTGTGACTGCTCTCAACTGCCTTTCACATGGCGAAAATATATATGTATATAATCCAATGTTCGGTTCTTATTGTTTCAGCTTCACAAACCCTAGGCGTTTCTTGCTTTTACACACTGTCTCCAACACTTTTACCTATTTTCCTTCATCCCCCATGGCACCACCAATTTCCATCGCACTCCACTGGCGCTATCGTCCTCGGTGTGCTTAGAATTTTAATGAACCGGCTTAGAAATTGTTGGTGGAATTAGATTTTAGAATGAGATTAGGTGACGCCTCCGCTAGGGGTCACCCCTCGCTGTCTCAGATACCATTTGCTGGTGGACCTCTGGTATCTGTTGAGCTATTGTTATTTTAAGTTATGTTGGTGAAGAGGGAGAGGTGGTTTATCGGTGGTAATTGAAGTGCAGCTGTTGTCTGATTGATCAGACCCATCAGAGCATTGACGATCGGAGTTTTAGGCTGTGTTACAGCAAGAAAGGCGAGAGGATCGACGAGTCTCTGGAGGACCACAGGTTTCCACAGGTAATCAATCCAATTCGATTAATTAATAGGATTGTCGTCATTCTTGGTGAAATAATGAGGATCCAGAATTGATATTATTTCACCGAGAACTAATGATACTGGAAAATTTTGGTCTAGGGGCCGGGGGTACTTAAAACCCCGGGATATCTCAAGGCATACCAGGGTGTGGTTCTTACGGAGAATAAGAGGGTGGCACCCAGGGCTTTCACCACCACTCCCACCCTCTTGACTCCCTTTTCTGTTCTGAACAAGATGCCTTAAATAAATGAAACTTCTCGAGCGGGGGCGCGCAAGAACAGGCGGCACCGGCATATAAATTCTCTCGCTTCGTAATTTCAAACTCAAACACCACCAGGGCACTCGGTACAAGCCCTCTAACCCACCCCTGCCTCTCCCTCCACCCACAATTTTGCACAACCCCTCAAGGGGTCCTCTCTCTTTATCGTCCTCCGACGTAAGGAAACCTTTGGGGGGCCGTGATTTTGGACTGCCAACTGCCATTGCAGAGTGACGACAATAATTATTAGGTTAATTGTCATTGTGGGAGATGAGAAAGGGCCTGGGTTGGAGATTTATGGTGAAATTAAGAAGCTATTGGCCGCGAAATGGTGGAAGGATAGATGAACAAAGCAGCTGGTCCACGTGAGGATATCATCATCACCTGACGGATTTTGATAATCCTTGAATCAAATATCATGCTCTCTAGCTATCAATGCTTCTGATTAATCAATTGAAAAATGAGTCGTGGTAAAATAACAACTGAAGGAAAATGATGAATGCATTAATGAATAAAAGGTAGAGCGACAGTTTCTCGGTACGTCGACTAGATTTATTCGACGAATCATTGAATTTCTCGAAAGCCAAGCATCTGCATGGGCAATTCGAGTGCGATGAAGTGAGTTAAATATCATCTGGATCGAGAAAGAGAGATGTGCAAAACAGTAGGAAAGGTGGATGGCTGGGAAGCTTTGTCTCCAACTTCAGAGCCTCCGCGCGGGTGTTTCGCGATTATAATTTAACGACGCCGGGGACGAGAAGCAAAGTTGGCCTCGGAAATCAATGCTGGAGACAAAAGCTAGAGGCTGGGCAAGGAAGAGCAACGAGCGAGAGAAGGGACAGGGGGAATATGAGTTTTAGAGTGAAAGCACAAGTGGTGAGGGTGAGGAAAGAGAGGGACCAAGGGAGTTGTCACGTTTTGGGTTTTGAAAGGAGAGACGCTAGCTCTAGTCCAAAGGCGAAATGAGAAAGTGCGGAGAGGGTGGCATCCGTGGATTTTAGTATCGTAAGTGTTGGAGGCAAAATTTCACGTATTTTACGAAAGGATAATACTAAACCAACGAGGGTGGATAACACCAGAGACGTAACCCCACCCTCCGTTTTGATTTTATACCCTTAAATTTTCCAACCCTCCTGGAATATTTCGTTGTCTTATGTGTGATGGCTAAAGAGGAAAAGGCTCTAACCCTTGACACTCACAATACCATTTGTCCCTCTTCATGTTGCCTTGTTCTGGGGGACGACCTCCGCGAAATTTAATATTCTCCCGTTGGTTTTGGCTTTTCATCTTTTTTAATTGTCCCCACCTACCTAACTCATCCTGATTCTTCAATCATTGTATAACTCGCTGGAAAGTTTTGAATTTATGGGATTAAGATTGTGAGGTCTTGGAAAATTGGGGGGTGTATTTATTTATTGATAAATAAAATGGATGAATTGAAATGGGGTGCGGTGAATTTATGCTGTATTAAAGGATATCTGTGGGGTGGCCTCGTTTTTAGTTGGGGGTCGTAAAAAAAAGTGATGGGGTGAGGGAGGAATCCGAGAATGAGGAGTACTGTGTACTTTTGGGGGGGTAATCGAGGGGGTGGGAGAGAGAGGATACTGCGAATGGTGATGAGGAGTTGGGGGGTTTTTCCAGAGGTTGGGGTGGAAGTGGGTGAAACGAGCGGGCCATTTGTGGCATGGGTATTAAGAAATCTCTGTGGACGGTTGGCGGTTGGCCAAGCATTCGCCGGCAAATTAAAATAACCCATTCGTTCGAAAATAGTTGAAGTGGATTTTCTAGGAATTTTAACCATTGTACCGTGGATTTTCCAGCGTTGTTTATTCACTTTGAAGTGGTACGCTTGGTGGGTTAATTATTTTTATTGTTGTACTAGAATTATTTCACCGATTAATGCTTTTTACGGAGATTCCTCTCGAAATTGCGATAGTCTTGGAAAAAGTGAAGGAGAAAGTGAGGAATGTTTGGGTAATTCGAAATACCTTGCGGCCCTTTCATTTGTAAACGAAATTACAGAATAAGACGGAGATGGGATGGAGTTGAGGGTGGAGTGGTGGTTGAAAATGACTTCTTGGAGTTGAGGGGTGGCAGGAGAATTCAAGTCCTTTCGGTACGAATGCAAACGCCTCAAAGGAAATTAAGGAGCATTCACTCAAGCCGGGCTATTTCGGAGGCAAATGTATTTCTTCGGGAGATAAAAATTCTGGGAGAAAATATTTCATTGATTTTCACGATGAGCTGGAGGTTAGAGGAGAGACGGAATAATCAATAGTGTAAAAAATGGTATATGAGTTGTCGGAAAATATGGAAAGGAGGCGGGGAATTAAGGACTAACAGTCTCCCACCATTTTCCCTCCACCTCTGCTTTTTCATCCCTTATTTTAACTCACACTGATACACACACGTATAACTAGGGGCTTGGAAGAGTCTCTTGGTAAGACGGGGGTGGCAGCATGGCCGCTCACTTTACTCCGGGACTCCGCCCTCGTTGCGCCCCAACACACTATACATCTCGCGGAAAAAAAAATAATTTTCCCAAGAACATTTACTTAACACTAAAAAATATTCATTTCGCCATTTTACTCGTCGAAGAATAATTTTTAAACACCCGGAGAAAAAATTGTCACTCACTTTGGAGTAAAAAATGCAACGAATCTAATTGAATTTTTAATTATAATAATATCGTCATACTTATGAAAATTGTAATTGTAATTATAATTGAAAATCACCATTTTTAGGAGAACAGGGGGAGAAAAAATTTTTCGGAAAATCGATAATTACCACTTTGGAAAAAAAAAAATTTTTTGTTGATCTCGGTGAGAATGATTTTTCGGTGGATGATTGACCACTCGCTGCAGCAGAAAATCACGGACTGGCCAGTACTCGAGAATCAAGTTCTATTTGAAAAAAAGAAAGTGCAGGGCTGTACCCCCTCTACCCGACGTCAACCCCAAAGAGTGACCATCGGCGATATTGTGGGAAAGAAAACCAGTTCACCATGGGGAAGATGTGGACAGTCCCACCGAAGGTCATCGCATGGGATTTTTTTTTTCCGCGGAAGCGGATGCAAGGGTGGATAAAGAAGGTACGGAAACCTGTTTCTAGGTCAAGTTATCCCTTCACACAGGCTTGACCTGAGTAAAGGATCTGAAACACTGGCTTTCTTCGACTTTCACTTTTCGCTGGGAACACTCGGTGCCCCAGAAAATAAAATAAAAACACCCAGCAAATATTTTTTTCATCGAGCGAATTTTTTTTACAATTTCTAGGAGTGGAAGAAAATAATTTTGCGGTTCACTGCACTTTATCCGACGCCGAAGTAAAAAAAAATGTATTACACCTCGAACAAGGGGACCACCCAATGACAGATGAAAATAAAATGCTGCGAGGCCCAGCAAGGGACATTTAATAAGGCCCCGTTGTACTTCGAGAGAATAAAATTAACCCCGCGAAATACTGACCAGTGGTCAGTGTCGGAGTGAAGAAGGGGGTATTCGCCTTCGGGGGGCTGCTAGCCCCTCATCGTCACCAAAATCTGCCGCGTGATATTCACCTAATGAGGTGGTGTAATTGATTACTAATGGTTGACCAACCACATCTGGAATCATCACACAATAACCGGCAATTTTTACCCATTGAAAATACCAACCTCGAGTCAAGAATAAAATTCTCTTTGAATCGGAATATCATTTCACTCGAAAATATAAATTCCATTCATCCACCGACATTTGAATGAATATATAAATTAACCATCCGATCGTGTTTCTCAACTGGCCACTGTCCCGCGCACTCGCATCTGCCGTACAAAATTCTCATCCCTCCGGAAAAAAAAAAGATTTATTCAAAAACTGGTTTAACTGGACGTTAACAAATACGCGGGCGTGTTACTCCGGTTTTGGCCTTTTACAAATGAAAACTGGTCGACAGAAAAGTTTTTCAATGCCCATGTTGTTTCATCGTATCCGGTTTTTGCACATTCAAATGCGAAAAAGTAACGAGAACCCAAATACACGACGATAAAAATCCAACTTAGATGAAACCAACAATTACCCGAATTGTTCAATTATTCGATAATTCGTTCTCGTCAAATCGGACTATTGATTTTGATAATGAAGCTATATATAATCACATACAAATGACAAACCGCGATCAATTAATTATATCAGACCCCCCGGCTTCATCGAAACTTTAAATTACGTACGGCATCACCGATAAATCATGACCAGAATAGATAGCTTACTCAACATAATGCAATATGCACTTAATATTGATCGGAAGGGTTGAGAAAAAAATAATCATTGCGATATGAAATTTTCCCCTCTCGAAAATATGCCAATTGCAATTACCAAAACGCGATATGGCGCATTGATTGATTCCGTATCTATGAAAATACGCGGTTATGAGAAATTCCATGAATTCGTAATAACGGAAACCCTTGGGCTAGATGAGTAACTAATACTCCGAATACATAGTATATCATTCCTGGATACCCATCCCCCTGGTATCACCCACTCCGCAATACCCACAGACTAGGTGTTGGTCGCAATAAATCGCGTACGCACACAGGATGATCGACAACGAGAGTTCCAGATATGGGAACTCCGGGTGTAAATACCACTCTTACCCCCTCATAATCCCCCCTCGTCACCCCCTCGCGTGTTCCACCATATATCGTTCATACCGATCGTCAATTTTGAGGTTAGACATTCCAGACGCC